AAAAAAAAAAAAAGAGTTTAATCTCTTTCTTTCCCAAAATCAGGTTGAAGTGACTTTTTTCCCCAAAGTTAATAGGTAGGAAAAGAATTATTGTGCTGGTTTTGGGGTGCCTACATTTTTTAAATTGTCATAAAATATAAATAACAAAATTTTACCATTGTGACTTGTATATTTGAAAGTGCACAATTCAGTAGCATTGAATACATTCACAGCGTTACACAACCACCACCCTGTTTAGTTCCAAAACCTTCAATCACTCCAAATGGAAGCCCCATCCCCATCAGCAGACACCCCCCCTTCCCTTCTTCAGTCCCTGGTAACCACAAATCCACTTCCCATCTCTTATGGATCTGTCTGTTCTTGACATTTCATTTAAATGGAGTCACAAACTAAGTCTGGCTTCTCTCCCTAAACACAATGTCCTCAAGGTCCATCCATGTTGTAGCCTGTATAAAAGCCTCCTTCTGGCTCAGAGCCCATAGCTCAGTAGTTAGGACACCAGCCACATACACCGGGGCTGGTGTGTTGGAATCTGGCCCAGGCCACTAAACAACAACTACTACAACAAAAAAATTGCCGGGCATTGTGATGGGTGCCTGTAGTCCCAGCTACTTGGGAGGCTGAGGCTAGAGAATCGCTTAAGCCCAAGAGTTTGAAGTTGCTGTGAGCTATGACACCACAACACTCTACTGAGGGTAACAAAATCAAACTGTCTCAAAAAAAAAAAAATTAAATAAATAAGTAAAAGATGATACACATGCTTTGCATTATATTTCTGTTGGAAAGAGGAACTAAATTGTAAGGCAAGAACTCCCTTCCTGTCTCCTTCCACCTCTTAAAACAACCTAAAGTGGGGTGGTGCCTGTAGCTCAGTAGGTAGGGCACCAGCCTCATGTACCGAGTTCAGCCAAACTGCAACAAAAAATAGCTGGGCATTGTGGTGGGCACCTATATTCCCAGCTACTCAGGAGGCTGAGGCAAGAGAATCGCCTAAGCCCAGGAGTTGGAGGTTGCTGTAAACTGTGATGCCACAGCACTCTACCGAGGGTGATACCATGAGATTCTGTCTCTAAAAAAAAAGCCTAAAGTGTGTTTTTGGTGGAAGGAGGGTGGTAAAGACTGTGGCTTTTGGAGAATGGATGCCTAGACCTCCTGGCCTCAGCCCTGCCTCAGCCTTCCATGACACTTACCTTCTCGAAGCACCACTCGTTCATATGGTGGGTAGTGACCCTGTTTGGTCAGAGCTGACAGGTCCTCACGGCTCCTTTGGGTGGTCTTCTTGGCTCCTCGTCGAAGACCTCGAAGCCTCCAGAACTCAGCCCGAGCACTAGAGCTTGCTGAGGAGCCAGGCACAACCCCGACAGCTCGCTGCGCAGCCTCCAGACTGGCTAGTTGCTCTGCCCTGGGGAGAAGGGGATAGTGGAGCACTGCAGTTGGCAGAATGACAGCCCCAGAGACAGCCTTGTCCTCTTCCCTAGAACCTGTGCACAGGTTGGCCCACAGGGCGAAAGGAACTTTGCAGGTGAGATAAAGTAAAGGACCCGAAGACAGGAGGTCACCCTGGATTAACTGGTGACTTAGTGTCCCCACAGGGGTCCTCACACGAGGAGGCAAGAGGGTCAGAGGCAAAGAGAAACTGGAAGATACTGCTCTGCTAGCTCTGAAGGGGAAGGAAGGGGCCCTGAGCCGAGGGAAGTGGCGGCCTCTAGCTGCTAGAAAAGGCAGGAGATGGGTTCTCCCCTGGAGCCCAGAGGAGGTACTAGCCTGTCACATCTTGATTCTAGGACTGCTCTCCAGAAGTCCAAAACAATAAGTCTATATTGTTTAAAGACACTAAGTTTGTGGTCACCTGTTATGGCAACAATAGGAACTAATATAATTGCCAGCTGGGTCTCCCCCTCCCCCGAACCTTCTGTAGGCGTCCCTGAATGGACCCAATAATGCTGCTAAGTAGTAACATCTATCTCCAGTGCAGAAACTGAGGAGGGGAATGGGGAATGGTTCCTACCTGCTCTGGTTGGGAATGACACCCCGCTCTTGCTCTCGGAGGTCACGACCCATGCGCACTGCCAGCCAGAGGCCTCCTCGAGCATGGCTCTGCCCAGGCCCTGGGTACAGTGTATCTAGCACATGGAAGACGTCACCACGGGTAAAGCCCAGGCCAGATGGCGGGCTGGGCTCCAGCTCAAAGTGTGTGCGAATATAGAAGGAGTCACCCACTCGAGATTGCACCATTTTCCGGAAGACTGAAAGACAGAGGAGGCAACATGAGTTGCATGCATCCAAGCCACAGGGACCCCACTCTGGGGAGACTCCAGGTGCTCTCCATGCAGGGGCCAGGGAGGGGGTGGAGGGTGCACGGATATGCCCACTGCCTGCACTCACCACCAGGCAGCAGGGCAGGTGCTCCCAGACTCCCAAGGATGCATGTGCACACACAGGCACATGCTCATGCGTACACACACACACACACACACACACACTCACTGTCCTGCTTCCGCTGTGTCAAGAGTTCTATTTCCTCGCCTGGTGGTAGCCCCAACAAAAACTGCACAGCTTCCTCCCGTGTCAGGCTCTGGAAGGGCATGCCATTCGCCTGCCAGGAGGAAAGTGTGGTGATGGGAAGAGGCCCCAGATACCTCCTGGTGGTGCACAAGATCCCAGACCTCCCTTGGGCAGAGCCAGCCCTAGCTGCTTGCAGGGTGGCCAGTGCAGCCTGGGCAAGTGGGAGAAGGCTGACTAGGGCATCACCCTGTGACCATGTGATGTTGTGACACAGACAGCTGACAGCATTACAGAGATATGAGGTTCTTCACACAGAAACAAGGCACAGCACAGTGCAAGCAGCATTGATGCCCAAGTTATGATGGATGTCATCAAGACCCAGGAATGGCTCAGCGCCTGTGGCTCAAGTGGCTAAGGCACCAGCTACATACACCTGAGCTGGTGGGTTTGAATCCAGCCTGGGCCCGCCAAACAACAATGATGGCTACAACCAAAAAATAGCCTGGTGTTGTAGCAAACACCTACAGTCCCAGCTACTTGGGAGGAGGCGGAGGCAGGAAAATCACTTGAGCCCAGGAGTTAGAGGTTGCTGTGAGCTGTGATGCTACAGCACTCTACCCAGGG